AAAGGTAAAATCAGAAAAGGGACAATTAACCGATTATCTTCGATCATGCATAGATTGCGAAGATTCCGGAACCTTCCATTCCTTTACGTGATCGCCAGCATAAGGAGTTTTGGCAACGAGGCTACTAATTTCATCCGTTCACCTTCGTTTTCTAGAAGCCGAAGGTCAATGAGCCCCCAATATATTTGGCGTAGGTCTGGCGTAGTTTGTACAGCGTTTTGGCGGCATTTTTGGCTACGTTGGCAGCGTTTTTGTCAGCAAGTTTTTCGTGGTCAAGGTCATTGGACTTTTGATTTTTCTTCGGCTGGGTCAGAAGTTTTGCGGAGAAATTTTTGGGCGTTTAATTCGGAATAGCGAAAAAACGTGAAGATCTAACAATGTTCACATTTATTCCTAATATCCGAATAGCTGCTGTAGGTGCTGGTTGATGCGGACGCTAGGTAAGTTATCCAACACTTAGACCGCTTCCTGAATACGCATATATGAGTGGGATCCATTCGTGGAAGCTGTGCCTGTGCTTCCTTTTTCCATGAGTGATACGTGAGGAGCAGAAAGCATAGTGAAATGCCTAAAACTTCTCCCTGGCTGACAAACGGATCGTCCACGGAGGGTTCACAATGCAAAACTGAGACTTTGACACGTTCGCCAGCCAAATATTTGGGCATGCTTCAGCAATAACTTGATGATGCTCACAAAGAGCACACCGGAAAGATATGCAGACGTGTTTGGGGCACCAAGTTTTTACGCTTCCCCTTTTCTCTCAGTTATTATTCGTCGTAGGCCATCATGGTTGTACGGCAGCGAAGCATCAGTTCAGGTGGCTAACGTACTGCTGTTGATGATGCAGGCACGGTCTATGGGAGATGAGATAAGCTGTATGCAAGCTAGCTCATGAAATCGAGTGACTTCGTAAAAACAAGGTCGAAAATAGATGGCATGAGTGCTCATGTACTAGTGGTAGGTCCACGTACTGATATAGCGACAGTTGCAATGTTAGCCCAAGACCGAAAACAAAGGTGTTTTTGGCCGAGATTCAAGAAAGATCATCCCAACAGACTTCAGGGAGATGGAAGTCTCTCAGTACCAAGTACAGCTTGAGTACGAATAAACTCGATAACCTACCAAGAATGTCAATAGTGACTCAACGGTCTTATCCAAGTACTGAAAAACACAGGTCACCAAAAAATGCAATTTACAGTTCACATATAGTGCAACGTCTAGGACTTGACGAACAAGGAAGCGATCACAACTAAGCAGCACGTATTCGATTCAACACACTACATTGTCTGCGATGTCCGAGGACATTACAGTGAAAGCAAGTATGAAGGCAGCAGCAGCAGCACGTCGAAACAACGTACCGAGGCTCCGTTGCCACACGACCACCAACAGTCGCGCGAGGTTTGGATATACCGTGAGGTCACTCGCACCTACGCAGATTCAAACCGGCGACATCCGGAGAAAAAGGCCATTGTGCAATTCATTTGGCTATGGGTCGTGTGTTGCCAGTACGGGTTCGGATACGGCGAAAATTGACCGACTGTTAACAAGCTAAAAATCCACCAGAAATAAACTGCTCATGAGCCAGCCGTTTATTTGTGAGATCTTTGGTGACTTTCAAGTCGAACCTGTCTGCCAGTAACTGAACATATGCATTATTACTGGTGAGTTTGGATGCAAATAGCGGTTAGTTTGCATTACTCCGATGTAGCACCCAGAATAGTCGGAGTCGCAATGAGAAAATATACTCGGCAGTCCGGTCAGCTTTCTGACAGTAACACCAGAGAAACCCGATGGAAAGACAAATGAGACAGTTTGAACGAGGTCGTCCAACATGCGTCATCATGGAGGAGGTGCAGCAAATTCGGTAATGTTTAGAAAAACAACGCTGCTTCGGGTAACAAATCAACTAGACAGGGCGTTTTCAAGCTACGAGTTTTCTGCACAAAGTTAGGTCTAATCGATTTGACAGAAGGTGGTCCAATGCGTTTCCTCACCGAGGTAGCAGAAAACGGGCTTTGAGCCCCACCTCGAGCACTCCGGTTTTAGTCTAATGAGGCTTGACGGAAGGCTTACAGACTCATAGTTCTCTTCTGCCTGATTTTAGTGAGCGCATGAATTCTAAATTCGGCGGAAAAGAGTAGGCCAAAATACCCTATCAAAATATGCTGGTAAAGGGAGCACTCGCAAATATAGCAGATAACTTCGACAGTCTCACATACGCCGAGTGAAAGGCTGTCCCTAACTCATCATCAACAACAGCAGTACATACACCATTTGGACTGATGCTGCGTTACAATACAACTATGATGAACAATGGAAAAAGGATAATAAGAGAGTGATAAGAGGGATTTGCCGGAAAACCTTAATCTCCTAAGCAAATATTCAGGGTTAAGGAACCTACACCTTGTGTAGAGAACATACCATCACAAACAGCTGGCTATCGTGCAAAGATAAGGCGGCATCGGTGAAACAGCTTCCTTGCGACTTTCACTGCCCCACGTCAGAATCAGCTATTACCCTGAAGACAACTTAGCACCAAACAGGCAATCCGAAAACGAGACGGCAACAGACGTGTCACCGGTGTCGGTTGCGAGCCATGTCCTATAAAGTCACAAGCCAAGCACAAGGTGAGCCACGCGGACTCCAGCCCGGAAGGCGAGAAGGACCAGCGGCACCCAGTTTGGTCGTGTGACTTCGTTTCACGCTGCCAAAGAAACTTCTGCCCAACTCGAGCTTTGCGCCATCCTACACCTGGCAGACTAAACAAGGTCCTCCTAGGTAAGCAGTGAGCAGGCATACGTAGCACGTGACCAAGCCAACGCAACTTATTCAGTGCTATCTGTTGTTCTGAGGAGCTAGCATGATTATCATTACCGAGTACTTGCCTACGCATATCATCGTTGCGGACTAGCTGGTACCATCCGACACCAACAATGCTTCACAGACAAGGATGATCAAGGACTTGAAGGCGGCTAAGATCTACAGACCGAACGGGACAAGTTTCACTATCATAGAACAGGACGGCCCTCACTGTGGCCTTGTATACACGGCCTTTCAGATGGAGGGAAACTCCTTTCTGTCGTCAAAGATGCCTTTGCAATGCGGGAACTAATTTCAGTTTCCATGCGCCCATCGTTGCTGATGCAGCTGCCAAGGTAAGTGAATTGATCAATCACTTCTAGTTCTTCGTTAGCAAGGGTCAAGTGGTCACAAAGTAGCTGGTAATCCTGCAGTAACACTGCACTTTGAAGTTGCGAAGCGCATACCAAATAATGGGACCACCCTGCACTGGCTATTAAGGGTTGGTTGTGCCGCCGCAACATCGTCGAAAAGCGAGACGATATCGTCCGCATAATCAAGATCAACTAACCTTTCACCAGGCAGAACCTCAGCGCCTACATCGTACGATTCCGCAAGGGAACACCCCATGATAGAGTCCACAAGGAAATGAAACAAAAATGGGGAAATCAGACAACCCTGATGAACGCCACTTGTGGTCGGAAAGCTATCCGACAAGTCACCGTTGATTCCAATGCAGCCCGTAGTGTTCGAGTGTAGAGCTAGGATGTTCACGTATTTCGTGTGAACAAGCTTTCGCGCAAGTATTTCGAACTTAATCGATCAATCGAGTGAATCGAACGCACACTTAAAATCGAGTTACACAGCTATGATCGGTCCGCGTGGCGCTGCTGTATCACCTGCCGCAGAGTGAATATATGGTCCATACAGCCACGTACTGGGCGAAAATCTGCCTCCACTACTCTAACCAGAGATTCCCGTTCCACAGTGAGGCGACGAACGATAATCGAGGCCAGTAATTTTTTCACAACTGGCGTTAGGCTAATACTCCCGTGGTTAGACAGTCTGTGTGACTGCCCTTTTTGTATCTTGCCACTATAGTCGATGCGCTCCAGCTAGCCACTTCCTTCCACATAGGTTCGAATAGGGGGGTCAGTGCTTTGCAGAGGACCTCACCTCCAATCTTGAATAGTGTAGATGTGAGGGAATCTGGGCCAGTGGCAAGAAAACGATTGAGGGCTGTGATCGCGTTTCGGACCTCGGCCTCCGATGTAGGCTTTAAACTAGCCATTCATGGCTAGTCCTGCATCACCTGAGTAAGAAGAGGTCCGGGAGCAGGCGGCCAGCTAAACTGATCTTGAAAGTGTTCCGCCCAACGAGCCATACGGCGTTTATTATTGTGTATCAGTGCACTCGTGCTGTTGAGTTAAAAGAAGTAATATAACGCACCTTATTTCTCCTGAGAATATGCCGAGTAACCATCGAACCTACGCGGTGACGGCGGTAACCTAAGGAGAACAAGTTCAGTCGCTGAAGTCGGAGTGGATACGACAGGTCTCGCAACTCAGGGACGGAGTTAGATCCACGCCGTTGTACCTTCTCTAGCAGATCACATACGGATTTGGTGAAAAAACAGGCAGCGGGTAGTTCGTATTCGTGAATTGGGAGTACATGCGAGCCAAAGAGGAGTCGGAAAAGCCCCGGGGCCAGGAAAGAAAACCCTCAACGTTGTTGTTGGCCAAGACGACCAGCTTCCGGGTGCCTTGGATAGATTTGTGGTCTGATGACACTATCACTCCAAGATCCTTCTCTTAAGTTGCGCTTCTGAGCAAGAAACCACCAATGTGGTAAGTTCCAAATGGGTTAAATGAGCCAACAGGAAGAACAGAGCATTAATCACGATTAACGGGCAACTGCCACTTAATCGACCAGTCATGGAATAGATCGAGCGATTGTAATCTGTCCAAATGATTAACTAGTATCAAAGGTACGATGTAGACCAGGAAGATTGTAAGTCAAATGTTATCCATCAACGAAAATCTAGCAAAATCCGATTCTTTGCATGAAGCTTAAGCTGTCCAACTAGTACGCGCAACAAATGACGTTACCGCTGAATGCTTAGATTTAATAGAATACAATTAAAAATAGTGGCACAAGGACAAACAAAGTAAAAGCGATATTTCAATAAGCAATGAAATTACCGATGGTTGAGTGAACGTCGAATGGGGGGAAGAGACGGCGGGTTGTGTACAAATAACCGACGACTGTGAATAGCGCAGATATATTCAACAAAAGTACACAGGAATCATTTGCAACATCAAAAGAAGAAAAATGCCATGTGGCAGTTATTTCGTTTACTATACATCAAACGATTGTAGACACGTGCATACCAATTACTGTCAGCAGAAACTATTAACAAACACTATTTTTTTATGTACATTGGCACATGTAGATCCTTGCAACAGATACTATTTTAAAAACGTTTTAAAAATTATAAATAATATCTATATATCTGCAAAGAATTTAAAGGATAGCTGAGGTGGTTTAGCCGTATGCAATCTTTATAATTGCTAAAATAAAAGCTGAAGTGAATTTAGGATGTTGTAACAGCTGATTATATCTTCTAGTAAATTGTTTTGCTATTTATTATGTTAACTTTTTGTTGTCGATAAAAGCACACGTATTTCTGACGTTCGACGCAAACCCTATTAACATCGCGCGGTTACCGAATGGAAGCGGTGCCCAAATACACGGCACACAAATTCGAAAGCTGTCGATTTTGCAAATAATGGCTAGTTAAACGACAATTGTTGCTTATATCTTTACTTATCATTAGTAACAAGTAGATACTTTATGTTTGTTAATTAGGGTTAAAATACTTAATCTGTACTCAGAGCTGCTAAATTCAATCCCGAAATTATTCAAATAGCTGGACGTTATCAGCTTCAGTATCACTGTATTAGGAGAGCAAGGTTGACATCTGGAGCATCCCTAGCAACTGCAAACATTAAAGGAACCAGTGCACAATGTCCGTTTGTGTAAATTCACGAATTCGGTGCCTTGGCAGCAAAGAAAAAAGGGGACTAACGACTAACACTGCACTATTCTGATTGTTTCGATCCGTAAACTTTGAGATTGCAGCTGTCAACTATCCACGCAACGGAAGTGTTTATACAGGTCTTTGCATCGAAACATAGGACCTCAAATTTGGTAACCATATTTATACTCAGAACTCTGCGGTAAGTGCGAAAACAAAGGGATTGTGTATCCAACTACAAGTTATTACTTCGCGTCAAACGAAATAACGTATAGGAGAAAGTTTGTCGTTACCTGGAGTATGCAGTGTGCAAGCATATCCTGGAATGCTACGTTTAACCTTAATGCAGTTCCTACGTTTTAAATTCGGTGATTGCCCGGGATGTAGATATAATACTTAATTTCGTTATGAGCCCAATCATTATTCCATTGCGAACCAAAGTGTGGTTGAAATTTGAGGGACCACTTGTGGAAGGATAATGCACGAAGCGTAGCAAGCAAGCAGTTGACTAGATGTTCTAAGTTGTCCGACTTTTTGCTCCGCTTGTTTGTCCGGTTAGGATACTATAACGGCAGTAATGCGGCGCTTTGTTACTTGGGCTGGAGGTGACATGCGATTTCGCTCAGTAATTCCGCGTTCTTTGCTTCGCTCTATCCAATGACGAAATTTTTCCGCCATAATACCTGCAGCGTCTGCAATCGATATCCTTTCATGCCATAACACGGCTTACCGATAATTTTACGGGCCACGGGTAAGCCTAAATTTGGCGCTTTGCGTGAACACCAAGCCTTCTTCATTTGTAAGTGCTTTCGTCAGTATTGCTTGCAGTAAGCTTCAGACGAATATTGGCAAGGCATTTCTACCAAGTTGCCAGAAATAAGCCTCTGGAACGTGATATCTGCAGTTGGTCCTAACCAACCTTTCCATGTCAGCGTTTCTCCAATCATCTTTTAAGCTTAAGGAGCCGGTCGACAGCGTCCTTTGGCAGAGGCACTGGAATAATGACAGGTCTACTGTCACTGACCACGCGGTGCTCTAAAGCTTCCAACCTCAACTCCATGATATGCATTTGTTTTTTGCATTCAAACTCACCCATGCGTCCGATGTTTGCGACGGACTTTCGCAGACCAATATGACACATCATCACTTAGTACAACCTGCTTTGTTGAAATAATCCACTGGTTCGGACAGTTCCTCCGTCGCAATAGAAATTTGACAGTGACGGTCAGTACCAGGACGATGTATCGTGGAAAGCTTTTTACCCTGCATTCCACTTTTTTGTAGAATCTACTAATTTCTGGTTTACTTGCGACGAATTTTCATCTCCAACCTGGGTGCTAGGGATGGATACTCGGTGTCTAGGCTGTACACGGCAGTTGGACAAAACTTATTGATCGGGGATTCACATTCTGGGAAACGGAACGGATGGCTAAAAATGAAGGAAACTGAAAGTTTTTCTATGTCTTGCCTTCTACTCCTCGCTCCAATTAGCAAGGTTCGTCGCTCGACGGTGACGCTAATAATTAAAGCATCGCAACCTGCAGCCGTTTTGCTTTCACTCACTCACCTAAAACTTGTCTCTGTAGTGATTTGGCATCGTTTTACCAGTGGCCTTATGAGTCCACACATGGTACATTCAAGTTTATGTTGGAAGCGGAAACTGTTTCGGTACTAAAGACCTCGTATTGCTGCAAGAAAACTTACGCCACCGAAATTGCGCCACTCCCACCATCCAACTAGTTCGCTCCATTTGCAACACCGGCGTCTTCGGAATGACCTGCTGCATACAAAAGTAAGTTCCATTAATAGTCACATGCATGCAAAACATTAGAAGAGATAGAAGGACGCATAAACGACAATGGTTTAATTTGTCGACAATGGCTAAAAGCCGACAGGTTGTCCGTCGTAGAGTAACGTCTAAACGGTCACCTACTGCAGTTTCAACCAGTTGATAGCACATATAATGACAGCTGATGATTTAACAGCATATCCACATTATTTCAACATGTCAGATCGTACTTATCGAATTGCAATTTCTCTGCCCTGCATCTGTGCGGCAACCAAGCTCAAGGCCATTAAGATGTTTGCGGCTTCGGTAAACGGTAGTCATAAATGTAAGGCATGTACAAACCGATGGTAACACCAGAAAGAGAAGGGATTATGATGCGAAAGTGTAAACGTTTAAAATGTTTAACTGCTGCAGTAACACCACCAGTGCCAACTACGCAGTATGGGGCGAAAAGTGTGCTTCAATATAGTGGCAGTGCAAGACACTTGCAACAGAAGGCTTTGAGAAATCCGCTTCACCGGCTTGAGGGTACTATAGCATTTGCTAATGAGTAAATCAGCAGAGGGTATGAATTTGTCGAACAGTGCCTTGAGGCGCATATATGGCTGGATTCATACCTCCAAGTTTCTCATGCCCACAACGAACGACAGGACATCTACTGCGATTATTGCGTTACCGGGCTGAGTAGTAGTGACGGACGCTCCATTAAATAAATAAATAAATAAACAAACTTTTATTCTCGACAAGGCGAGGCACACCTTTACAGGCATGATCATGCTTAGCTAACATAGTGTGATCAAAAGTGTACAAAAAGTACATATTTGGCATAACAGCGTATGTAAGTGTATGAGTGTATATAAGTATGTAATTTTGTATGAATGTAGCTTGTGTCTTTGAATATGCCGGATCATTTTTGACTGTTTGTTATCCTCAGGAATGTGAGCCTAGTGGCTCATGGTTAACGCCATAAGCACTATGCCACTGAGGTCCATGAGCAACGCTTGGTCAGGTCAGGTCAGGTCAAAATCCGTAGACGATACAGGCTTCCGCCTAACGAGCGTCCAGCTTCTTGTACCGGTAAGCGAACCAGAGCCCCCGGCACTTCGACTTTTGATCGCCTCTCCTTGCCTCGGCAAAAAGAAATGAAGCTTTGCTTTCATCTTCTACTTTTCAATATACTAGTGTCATTTACAAGTAAGTCAGCACTCGTAAAGGATAGTGCAAAAAGCTCAGCACTGTTGCGGGAATTCTGATTAGCTAGCATATTCGCCCGACACGTCACGCGTCGGAAACCTTGGAAGTAGGACTCGAAGGGGAAACTTGGGAATGTGACAATTAGTCCAAACTGGCGCACGTCGGCACAACTGTGACAAAGGTAATGAACGTTAAATAGCAAATCCTTCTCTCCGTAGGTTGCCGTGTATTGTTGGTTAAGTCTACTCAACCACTCTTCCAACAGCTATAGGTAGTAGGAGCACCACCGGTTGCAGCAAGGCACATAAGCTGCAACTGACAACTTGATAAAGTTTTATCACCTGTGTTTCGGAGAGTGGCCTTGTAAATATGTAGATAAATCAATAGTTTATTCTCGACAAAGCGAGACACGCCTTTTGGGCATGATCAGCATATTGCAATATTGTACATGAGAGCAGAATAAGCAGCACCAACAGCGGGAGTAGTACAGTTGGAGACAGTAGTGTGGGCCGTATGGCCCAAAGGTTGTATGAAGTCTATGTCCACAGAATGCGAGTGGTAGAGATAATAATCAGATCACTAATATCGTATGTTGATAGGAACTAGTCCGGTGAGGTCCCGTACGCATTGTGGGTCAGGTGAGTGAAGTAAGAGGAAACGGCTGAAAACTACTTAAGAATAGAGGCATGTCACTAATCAAATATGTAGGCGTGTTCTTGCGGGAGCAGATATATGCACAGAACTTGTAAATGTGATATCGATCAACTTGCCAATGTGTGTTTGGGGCGATGACTTTACTGAGTGGCGAGTCACATCCGCCACGACGCAGTGTTGTTAAACAGACATTTGTGGGTTTTTGTAGGGAAAGCGCTTGACAGACGAATACCCACCATGTCCTGGAACACTGCCGGCTGGTGAAATGATATTGATAAGAATGCATCTGACCCAGGGAATAACGAAAACTGACGGAATTGAGTGGTCATCTGTCTTTCAACCCCTTCAGGTATGCTGTAGCTTATAGGAAATTCCGGTTGCAGCCATTTAGAGCACAGCCGCAACCGCCTCTTTTTCGACGGATGGCGTTGGCTGGTAAACAGATTTTTCCTTTATGAGGCCCACAACGTCACAAAGTAGCGTCTATTTCACAAATCCCAAGCACGATATTTGCATGTAATTGATGAGAAAGCGTGCTACCATGTCTATAGCCGGTTTTTGAAAGGGGAATCACTAATGTGATGT